TGTCTGCGTGTGCGTGTCCGTAGCACCCTCTGGCTCAAGGCTCAAGGCAACGTGGGGCAAGCCCCCTTCTCAAGGGCTCCGTGCTCTAGGAGCGGGGCGCCCAGCGCGCGTTTGGGACCCTTGGGGTGGCCTCGGCGCCATCGGGCGTGGCTGTTCTCGTTTTTTCCTGCATGCGTCTGCCACCATTCACTCCGCCCGTCTGCTACGCCGGGTGGAACTTCGGCTGAGCATGCCCCGGCTTAGCACTTCGCGAAGATGCCGTCGCCTCGCCGTTGGAGGAGACAAAGTGTGCGTGAAGGGCGACGGGTGGGGAGTAGAAGGAGGAGGAGGAGGAGAACGAGGGGAAGGATGAGAAGAAGAAGCATGAGGGAGAGGAAGAGGAGGAGGAGGAGGAGGAGGAGGAGGAGGAGGAGGAGGAGGAGGAGCCAGAGCCGGAGGAGGAAGAGGAGGAGCAGGAAGGTGATGACGATGATGATGATACGGACTCCCCCCGCGGGCAGTCCTGCGTCTTCAGGTAGCAGCGAGCAGCTGGACGCGGGCGCACTTCGAAGACGCGGGTAGCCCTGCGTCTTCGATGGTGCATGCCAGGGTTAGGGCCCTGCGTCGGAAGTGCGCCCGTGATGACGATGATGATGATGGTGATGATGATGATGATCACGGTGAAGATGCTGATGATGCTGATCGTGTTGAAGGTGTTGATAATAACGATGATGATGCGACTGCTGATGATGATGACGATGCTGATGATGATGCTGCTGATGCTGACGCTGCTGTTGCTGATGCTGTTGCTGACGATGCTGATGAAGCTGATGATGAAGATGACGACGATGATGGAGATGATGCTGATGCTGATGATTTGTTTCCCCAGTTCGGCACCTTCAGCGAGGACTGCGTCGATACTGCGAGCTCGAGTTGATGTTTCGCATCATCGCGCATTCGGCCAGCCTTGGCCATGGCAGCACGAAGCTTCGTGCAGATTTCTCTGTTCCCGCGAACAGCAGCCAGGTCAGAGGAAAGGACCTCCATGTTATCGCCGAGCGTGGCCAATTGTGACCTCAAGGCAACAATTTGGCGAACAAGTGAATCTTTGACTCCAACATGATTCGAGATCGACTTAACTCACGAGTCATCACTATGCTGCAAACAACTAGAGTGCGAGCCCCCCTCTACAGACTGCCGGGGAACACCTGGGACAACAGGAAGACCATCAGAAGGCTCACCAGCAGGAAGCGCCTGCCCATCAGGCAGCCCGCGACTACCAGGAAGCGCACCACCATCGAAGCGAAGCTCACGACGATGAGGAAGCCAACGACCAGCATGAGGCTCGCGACCCTCTGAAGCTCACGGCCATCAGGGAGCTCACGATCAGCAGGAAGCTCAAGACCATCTTGAACCCCACGATCAGCACGAGCAGGAAGCGCATCGCGCCCAAGAGGGAGCGTATCACCACCATCCTCGCAAAGCTCATGACCACCAGGAAGCCCACGAAAATCAGGAATGCCCATGGTCATCAGGAAGCTCACGTCCATCAGGAGGCACACGATCATCAGGGAACACGAACCCATCAGAGAGCTCCCGATCATTACCAGCAGGATGCGCATGCCCATCAGGAAGCCCACGGCCATCAGGAAGCGCAACGCCCTCGAAGCGAAGCTCAGGACAGTCGGGAAGCTCACGGCCACCTGGAAACTCACGACCATCAAGGAGCTCACGGCCATCAGGAACCACACGACCATCCGGAAGGGCACGGCCAGCAGGAGGCCCGCGGCCAGCAGGATGATCAAGACCATCTTGAGCAGTTCGATCAGCACCAGCAAGAAGCACCTGCTCAGCAGGAAGCTCACGGCCATCATGAAGCGCACGATCATAATCGCACGGCTCGCGACCATAAGGAGCTCGCGAGCATCATGAAGCTCACGACCATCAGAGGGCACGCGAACATCGGGAAACTCCAGAAGCTCACGACCTCCAGGAAGCTCCCGACTGTCAGGAGGCTCACGAACATCCGGAAGCACATGACAAACATGAAGCACGCGACCATCAGGGTCTCGTGAAGCCCGTGGTCCCGCGAAGTTCCAAACCACCCAACCGCGGAAGAGCATCCAGGACTCGTTCCAAGAGTACCCGCAGAGCTAAGCACCAGCAGGCCAACTCCACTGGCGGTCATGAACAACAAGATCATCACGTACATCCGGAAGTTCGCGACAACCAAGAATGCCACGATCATCGGGAAGCTCACGTCCAGCAAGAAGCGCTCGGCAATCAGGAAGCCGAGGACCATCGGAAAGGCACGCGACCGTCAGAAAGTTCACCACTAGCACCGTCAGCAAGCCCAGCA